TGGGTGGTGCCACCCCTGGGCAGGTGGGCCTGTGTTGCATAAGAAAGCAGGCTGAGCAGGGGCCGAGGGAGCAAGCCTGTAAGCAGCGTTCCTCCATGGCCTGTGCTCCAGCTCCTGCCTCCAGGTTCCTGCCCTGAGTTCCTACCTTGGGCTCCCTGATGAACTGCGTGCGACCTGGGAGATGTAAGACAAATAAACCCTTTCCTCCCCAAGTTGGTACTGGTCAGAGTGTTTTGTCACAGCAATGGAGAACAAACTAAGACAGGATCTCAGTGGCTTCTGGAATCCTCTTCACACCACCCATGTCATTTTGACTTCTGTTTCCCTTATTGTGTCCTATCTTCCTCTCTTTTAGTATGAGCACAAAAAAACCCTTGTGATTTGGTTGGACCGGGAGTCATCTATCTCAACATCCTTAGTTGCACCTGCAGTGTTTCTTTTAAGACACACAGTAATGTTCCTAGACTCCCAAGATGGGGATGTGGACACCATTGGAGGATCATCATTCTTCCTAACAACCGATGGCCTTGAGGGCAAAGCCCCATCTCCTTAAATTGGCTTGTCAGCTCCCCAGTGACCACTGCCTGCCACCCTTCTCTAACATCATTACCTTCTCAGGCTCTCTACACTGGTATGTGAGTTTCAGCTTCTGGAACCTTTCTTCTCTGCTTCCTCTGGTCCTGGGCCAGGCTGGCTGTTCTACCTGGGAAAACCTTTCCCCATCCTTTACTTGACCAAGTCCAGCCTAGGCTGGATCCCACCTGCCTTAGTTTGTTTCTCCATTGCTGTAACAAAACACTCTGACCACTACCAACTTGGGGAGGAAAGGGTTTATTTAGCTTACATCTCCTGGGTCACAGTTCATCTGGGAGCCCAAGGCAGGAACCTGGAGGGAGGAGCTGGAGCACATGGAGGAACGCTGCTTACTGGCTTGCTCCCCTGGCCCCTGCTCAGCCTGCTTTCTTCTGCAACATAGGCCCACCTGCCCAGGGGTGGCACCACCCACAGTGGGCTGGGCCCTCCCACACCACTCAACAATCAAGAAGATGCCCCACAGACATGGCCACAGACCAGTCCAATGAAGGAAATTCCCCAATTAAGGCTCCTTCAACCCAGGTGTGTCAAGTTGACACTAAAGCTATGCAGCACACCACCTTCTCTGGAAACTTCTGAAAACCTCATCTACTCCCTCTCTTTTCCTTCTGTTGTCATGAAGGGCTCTTACATCCTTCCATATTCCTGGTCAGCTTTTATTACTTTTAATAGTATTGCCTGTCTGATTATTGTCTTTCCTGAAAATGTAAGCTCTCTGAGGATGGAGACAATGGTGGAATCCCCATGGGCCTCTTTAATTTCTTTCTGAACGAATAAAAAAGGTTAATTCCATAATAGAATGCAAATTATTTTACAAATATTTTCTCATCAATCATTAACAAGTATTTATTAAGCACCAATTTGATGTGTATGGAGCCAAAGTAGTTAAAAATAGGAAGGAGTCCCTTGAATGTTACAAGGATGCTGAGGTGGTGACGGTATGCTCATAAGGACATGAATAACAGTTTTTCTCTTCTAGGAAAATGGACTGGGATGTGAGTAAGCCAGTAAGCTTTGCTTCTGGAGACCATCGACATCTGGTTCAGAAAGTTGCAAATAGAGGTGGCTACTCCAAATTGGGTCAGTCCTACATGGCTTCCTCTGAAGGCAGGTCACAGGATACTAAAGAGAGTCCATATCCAAAGGCTAGAGAGCAAGCAAGCATCTATGTGGTACAAATTTCAGAAAATGATTGCCCAAATGAGACGAGCACAGACTCATCCAATCCCTTCGCAGACCCACCTGTCCGCAGAGGTGAGAGTAATATGAGTTTTTGAAAGGAGAAAATGTTCTCTTAAAATATTTCCATGGTGTGGACTGTCGGAAAGATTTCATTTCTAAAATGTAATTTAGCTTTCCTATTCTTGCTTTATCATGAAATGCATTAGAGGCTGCCATGCTAGACTACCACAAAGCCATCCCAGAGATTCAGAAATCCATGAACAAGCGACTTTGGGATTTAAGTTGTATGATTTAGTTACTGACTGCAAAATGTTCTCACCTATGTACATTTATTTCTTTATTTTATTCTTTGCTTTATTTTTTTGGTCTTTTTGAGAAAGTCTCCCTGTAGCCCCAGCTGTCCTGGAACTCACTATGTAAATCAGTCTGGCCTTGAACTCACAGAGATCCGCCTGCCTCTGCCTCCCAAGTGCTGGGATTAAAGGCATGCACCACCATGCCCAGCTATTAATTTTATTCTTAATATTATTCTTATTCTCTCGGTTAAGACATAAATTCATTCAGCAGGGAATAATAAATCTTAAAAACTGTGTCTTAATCTTTTTTTCTTATGAAATATGATGGTCAAGGATAGGCAGCTAGGGCTAATTATTGCACAGGTCCCCAATGCCCATTGTGCCACCCTTAAGCCTTTTTAGGCACTGGGCAACTTAAAGTTGCAAGTGGACTATAAGCTTTGAATCTCAGCATGGCCTCCCTGCAGCCCTCACTATCTATCCTAAGGCTGAAAAGAGGACTTTGGAGCACTGCCTTTCTGGTAGAAAAGAGAAAAGGGCCAAAGATCAAGGGCTAAGAGAGAACAACTGTTCTGCCAACTCCAAGGTATCCCATTCATGAGAGGTGTCCCAAGAGTCCTCTAAGCCAGACCTCTTTTCAGAGACTGCCCCGGAAATTACCTCCGAGAGATTTTACCCTCCTTGTGGTGATTCTATCTGGATCATGGGGCCTCTCTATCTGTACTGTCTCTGTTGTCTTTGTAGTCACCTTTTACAAGATCTGGGTCAGAGAGTGAGGAAGCCAGGGTGAACTGGGAAATTACAGAGTTGGGTGATTTCTGTGTCTTCCGAGAGGCAGAGGTGGGCCTTCCTTGATTTTCATAACTTATATAGTATGTAAGAAGATGAAAGTGCCATGGGAAAAAGAAAATTAGCAGGGTTATGGAGGGAAGGACTATAATTTTCCAAGGCAGCTGTGTGGAGATACAATTTACAAATCATCAAGTTGACCTTTTTTAAGTATACAGTTTAATGTTTTTAGTATATTTACAGTTGTGCAGCTATCACCACCATAAATTTTGGAACATATTCATCACCTCAAAATGAAAGACAATAGCAGTTACTTCCCTTCTCCCCTGTCCTGTCAAAACTGATGTACTTCCTAACCCTATGGATGTGCCTATTCTGGGCATTTCATAGAAATTGGAGCCTACAGTCTGTGCTCTTTTGTGGTCTTCCTTCATGAAGCATCAGATTTTCAAGGTTCACCCTGGGTAGCGTGAGTCAGTACTTTATTCATGTCTATGGCCATATAGAGTTCTATTGCCTGATTAGAACACATTTTGTTATTGTGAATAATGCTGCAAGTAGTATTCATATATCAATTTTATATAAACATGTTTTCATTTATCTTGGATAGAATTTAGAAATTGTTGAAATGTATCACAATATACTTCACATTTGGATGAATGGCAAAGCTTTTCTAAAATAGCTGCATCATTTTTTTATTACAACCAATAATACATGAAGGCTCCTGTTTCTCCACATCCTTGTCAATATTTGTTATTGTCCATCTTTCTGATTGTAGCCACACTAGTGACTGTGAAGTAGGTGGTGTTACATATAGTTTTGACTTGCACTTTTTTCTAATGCTGATGGTGTTGAACATCCTTTCAAATGCATGTTAGCCATTCACATGTCTTCTTTGGATAATAGCTATTCAAATATTTTGTCCATTTTAAAAAATACTAACAGCTGGGCATGGTGGCACATGCCTTTGATCCCAGCACTCAGGAGGCAGAGGCAGGCGGATCTCTTGAGTTCAAGGCCAGTAGTCTACATAGTGAGTTCCAGGACAGCTGTGGCTACAGAGAGACCCTGTCTCAAAAAGGCCAAATTTTATTATATCCCATGAATCTGTGAGTTGACTGGCCATAGACAGCTCTTGTCCTGGTCTTGAGTGGCAGTTCTCATAAAATTGAATCAGATAGTAGTTGACGTTGCTTTGGATAGTATGTCTCTCTGACATGGCTGGAAGATAGTGCTGGTTGCTGCTTCTCTTGTAATCTGAGCTACTGAACACATTGATTCCAAGAAGATGTGTACCTGGTACATGAGCCCCAGTTTGTCAGATGTTGGCTTATATCACACATGGCAATGTCCCATAGGGAGAGCATGACTCTAGCTTTATCTATTCATGGCATTTGTCTTCTTTGTGGATTATAAGAGTTCTCTTACTCTTCAACAGGTTCTCAGATTGCCTTTGCTGGCCTCAAACATACTATGCAGCCAAGGCTGGCCTTGAATTCCTTGAATCCTCCACCTCTCAAGTGCTAAGATAACAGGTGTATACCACCACAGAGATTAAATCAGGTCATCAGGCTTGGTGGCAGTCACCTTCAACCACTGAGCCATCTTGCTAACCCCTAAATGTATATTTTAATATAAGTAGCACACATCTGGATATATTTGTGTTGGGATTTTGATTAAGAAAGCTCAGTTCCATAGCCAGGCGTGGTGGTGCAGGCCTGTAGTCCCAGCACTTGGGAGGCAGAGGCAGGCAGATCTCTGTGAGTTCAAGGCCAGCCTGGTCTACATAGTTCCAGGCCAGCTGGGGCTACAGGAAGACCCTGTTTCAAAAAGACAAAAGGAAGAAAAGCTCCGTTTCATTCCTTTGTTGTCTTGCTTCTCATGCACAGAATCCACCTAGACTCACAGAGCTCTCTACCCTGTGAGTTACCTTGAAAGCACCAGCATTTCTTTTTCCTATTCTTCGTAAGTTAAGATAAAGACACACACACACACACACACACACACACACACACACACACAGCAGTCATTGCCCATGCTATCCTCATGGGGCCCCAGAAAACCTGGGCAGCAGGAAGTGAGCAAAAAGCAGCGTCAGCATTCTATGCACTAGCTGTGGCCAGTCATGCTCCTGGAACTTTTTGGTCTGACTTTTAAGTCTGCCTCAGTCGGTAGAAGGAAGGGAATTGCTAGGGGCATGTAGGCCAGAGATGGTAGAGGTTGAAAATCTCTGCAAATTCTACAGCTGGAAGCCACCTCAGAGAAGTCATCCACCTGTCTACCAGCAGCCATTGAGGCATCGCAACTGTCCATCTGTGTGGAGAGAAAGCTGGATCCATAATGATGCACAAGTCACGACCTGAAACTTTCAGATCATGTTTGGCCTAAGGATGCTGGCAATGTGCATAATAAGGACCTAAATCTCTGAGTTTATCTTTGAAATTTGAGGGCTTCCATGGATAAGACTTAAGGCCCAAGATATCCAATAAAATATTCTTTTGTTGTTGTTGGGGTTGTTTTGGGCCTTCTTTTTTTTTGAGACAAGGTCTCACTTTGTAGCACTGGCTGGCCTTGTACTCACAGAGATCCACCTGTCTCTGCCTTTGGAGTGCTGGGATTAAAAGTGCGTGCACCACAGTTGGTCTACAATAAAACATCTTTTACAATCAGACTGAATATTCATTTCTTCTTATGATACGGTGTCTCTGTGTTGTTCTGGTTGGACTCTAACTCCTGGGCTGAAATAATCCATATATATGGATATATATGTATAAATTTATATATATTTAGAGAGAGAGAGAGAGTTGTTTCTTTGTTATTCCAATTGTTTGACTAAGCTAGCAGTGGCTTTCTCACCCTCAAAAAGTTGAAGGGGGACTTTCTTCACTGAGTATCAAAAACTGGAAATTACATTGACTTTTCTTTGTGAACATTGTATCATAAACTACTGCTTCTGTCTCCACAGCTTTCATTGTAAAGGTGTTTACCATCTTGTCCATTCAGTTGCTTACCACGGCAGCAATCACCAGCTTGTTTGTTCTCATGTGAGTCCTCATGTGAGTCTTTCTTACCAATGTAGATTTAGATGTTAAGCTGGTCCTGTGAATTCTTGTGGAATTTGCCTGCTTTCATTTGGAACATTTCAAAAAGTATGGTTTTTCTTCTTCATCATTTGTAGAAGACAATATTTCTATGGATTTGTTTTTCTAAAGCAACGTCTAGACCAAAGTGGCAGGAAATTTCTAGAATTTAATTTCTTAAGCCAAGAACATTTTTTACTCTTATTTTGGGTATTATTTTCTTTTTAAAAAAATTCTCTGAGTTACTTTCACAAATAAAATTGGATAAAGGGAAATAGGTAAGATTGTGGAGACTTAGCCAGGTGTGGTGGCACATGCCCTTTAATCCCAGCACTGGGGAGGCAGAGGCAGGCAGATCTCTGTGAGTTTGAGGCCAGCCTGGTCTACATAGTGAGTTCCAGGCCAGCTGGGACTACAGGGACACCCTGTCTGAAAAAGACCAAAAAAAAAAAAAAAAAAAAAAGATTATGGAGACTTTGGAGACTTTAAAGGCTAAACACTTAAATTCTGTAATTATTTGAGGGACTTTAATACATCACTGTCTTAGTTCATCCTATGAAAATCTATTTACAAGACAAGTAGTAACTTGATTTCTTTTAGTTTACACACATATCAATCTCAGTATTATTTTAAAATGAATGACTTCACTAGGTAAATGTAAATTTGACATATAATTTAAGAAAAAAATCTCTTTATTAATGCTTTTTTTTAAAACTTATCTTGGTGCTGGGGATTTGAACCCAGGTTCTCACACAATGCCAAGCATGTGTGTTCCATCACAGATCCATGCCAGCAACTCATTTCACCTTTAGGAGGATTGTTTCCCTGGGTGTGGTGGTACATGCCTTTAATCCTAGCACTTGGGAGGCAGCCAGAGGCAGGTGGATCTCTGTGAGATGGAGGCAGCCTGGTGGCATAGTGAGTTCCAGACCAGCTGTTCTGAAACAAACAAACCAAACAACAGACAAAACACAGACAATTGTGTCATTGCCTCCTATCTGTCCGTACTGATCATTTAGTTTGCCCCATTCTCCTCATGATATTGTTATAATTCTATTTAAGTATTACATTAGTTAGCAATTTTTACTATTTATTTTGTAAAACTACGTTCTTTCTTAACCAGGAAAGGTTTAAGAACGTGGGTCACTGTCCACCCCTTGTTCATCTATGCACTCTTGTAAGTATCATTGACTATTCGATTAGCTATTGATTTACATTCTGCTACTGTTGAAAATGAGGTCAAATATAACATTCTTGGTGGGTATGGTAGTGCATGCCTGTAATCCCAACACTTGAGAAGTAGAGACAGGAGGATCAGGAACCTAACGCCAGCCTGGGCTGCATGGTAAGTGTGAGGTCAGCTTGAGCTACATGAGACCTTACAAAACAAAACCCAAACTGAAACCAATCAGATATACAAAGAAGGCCAAAGGCAAAGCATAACATGCATTTTAAAATTTTTATTATGAGTGTTTTACTTGATGTATGTTAAGTGCCAGAATGGTGTGTTGTATTGCCTAGAACTGGAGTCATAGACGATTGTTAGCTGTCATGTGGGTGCTGGGAACTAAACCCTGGTCCTCTGTAAGAGCAGTCAGTCCTCTTAACCTCTGCGCTGTCTCTTCAGCCCCAAGTATAACATTCTTGAAAGGAAAAAATTATAGAGATGGAAAGCAAATTAGTGTGAGCTAGAAGTTAGGGTCAGGTGTGTGTGTGTGTGTGTGTGTGTGTGTGTGTGTGTCTGTGTGTCTGTGTTTCCACAGAGGGGTTATATCAGGAAGGTCTCAATGTATTATTAATAAGACATTTATGAGTTTTAATTGTGGTGGTGGCTGCATGTATCTATACATAGAATCATCTCACAGTTCTATGTGAAAGAAATATGCATTCACACTATACCAGTGTCTTATTACTTATTATTGGAGAAAACCTTGTGTGTAGAACTTCTCTATCCATTTGCAACTTGTTTTGAATCTATAATAATTATATTAGAAATATTATTATAGATTCAAAGTAATTGAATTATTATTATTGTTGTTGTTTTTGAGACAGGGTCTCACTATGTTCCCCCCTCTGGCCTGGAACTCAGAATATAGACCAGGCTATCCTCAAGCTCACAGAGATCAACCTGCCTCTGCCTCCAGAGTTCTGGAATTAAAACCTATGCACTATCATGCCTGGCTCTATAATTATTTTCAACAAAAATTTAAAAGCTTCACAAGCTAGCTGTTGATGGAAATTTTTTAAAAGTTCATTTTAAAAGATAATGAACTTTTAAAAAGATTTATTTTTAATTTTTAATTATGTATATTGTGTGCACCTGTATAAGGGTATGTGCATGTGAGTGCAGGTACCCTCAGGGCCCAGAGCCATTGGATCCCCTGGAGCTGGAGTTATAGGCAGTTATGAGTCACCTGATATGGGTACTGGGATCTAAACTTGGTCCTCTCAAAAGCAGTACATGCTCTTAACCAGAGTCATCTCTCCATCCAAAAAGTTCATTTTTGAAAGTTTAAAAAGAGACCCCAGGCCTCTCTCTCTCTCTGGGACCAACCCAACTCCTCAGTCCAGTCTCCAGGAGCCCTTGGGGCCACTTCCTGCCCCCATCTTCCTTTACATCTCCGGGTGGCATGGCCACCAGCTGCCCTAGACCAGAATCCTTCCTGGGCCTGGCTCCCAGGCCAGTCCAACCCCCAAATTCCTGAGGCCAAAATCTTTCCTGGAGGGCTGCAGACCTTAGGAGAAATCCTGAGAGCATCTGATCCTCATCTGACTTGGGCCTCTGTGGGAAGACAAAAATAATCTGGCTACTCCAATATAAAATCAAAAGAGAGAAATGGAAGGTTAGAGGAGCCAGCTTTTCATGCCCAAAAAGTAAAACACAAAGACACATAAAGTTCACAAAAAGAAGCAGACATAAACTAGAAGGCTTGAGTCTCATACAAGAATCAGAAACTACAAAAGAAATTCACATGTCAAAATCACAGAGAAAAAATAATAACATGAAAAACCAAAATAACATATCCCCACCAAATACCAGTAATCCTCTAGAGGAGCACAATGAGAACCCCCTAGAGACAATGCAGGACATGGAACTCAAAAGAACAATGATGAATATGGTAAAAGAATTCAGTGAATTTAAAGAACACACAAAAAAGTAATCATAGAGCTGAAGGAAGATAGGGATAAACTTCTGAATGAATTCAGAAAAGAGCTAGAAATATTGAAGAATACTCAGGCTGAAATAAAGAACGAAGTGAAACACTCCATAAGCCAATTAGAAATGACAGGAGTAAGCCTCACCAATAGGATGAATGAAATTGAAAACAGAGTATCAAGATTGGAAGATAAAGTGGATGAACTGGACCACTCAAGTAAAGATTATGAAAAATTTAAGAAATCACAAGAATGGAATATGCAGGAATTGTGTGACACCATAAAAAGACTAAACTTATGAATCATAGACATACAGGAAGGAGAAGAATTCCAAGATAATAGCATGGACCAGATCTTCAACAGAATCGTGGAAGAAAATTTCCCAAAATCAAAGAAAGACATGCCCATACGAATACAAAAAGCATACAGAACACCAAACAGACAGGACCAGAAAAGAAACTCTCCACAG